ATACAGTGTATTGATATTCTGCTATCTGGGCATAAACAGTTCGAGATTTTGAAACTTATTATGTTGTAAGTTGCTTCATTACATAGAGTGTAAATATCGATTCTACATTACACAAATTTTCGTTTAAGAATGATTACAAAACAGGGAACATTACAAGATATATTAGCTGAATATTTATTGATTATACTTCTGAGGAATAAAAGCAATTGCGTATTTACCATTCGTTTATACTTTAACAAATTAAGGAATAAATCCAGTTTAAATTACTGAATTAAACTCAAGAAAATTATTAAAAATAACTGATATTAAACATAACGTTTAAGAACAAAATAAGCAAAAGGGAAGCAGAAGCAAATGCATTAATTAATCACTAACAAATTTCGGTAGTATCGCAATTATAAACAGTTGATAAGACCTACATGACGCGCACTCTTGTGTAGGGTTGCTTATGCCCCCTTAGTCACCAGTATTTCCTCCCACGCCAACGGTAAACCACTGAGCATGCGCAGGATGCGAAATTCGTTAACATTGATCAACTCAATGTGCGGTTTGCCATTACGCTGACAGAACCTGTGTACATTTAATCTACTACAAACCTTCACGCACACAACAACGAACATGCCGTGAATTTGAATATAAACAAATGACAAATAGTAAAGAAGTATAATATTATATTACATATAAGATAGATTATAATAATAATAATTACATAAATTAATTAGATATAAGATAAGAAGAGATAATATTAGATTACCAATGAAAATTCGCAAGCTTGGACAAAATGTGACGAAGTTTCTACTAGTGATCAGAACACTGCGCTTACTGTAACTGAAGAAATTAAAGATATAGTGGGTAAAGATGAAGACCATGATATTGTAATCGCATCTGAATCAAAGGGAAGATGGAGTGGTACTTCTTTCAACGTCATGCTCTACTTTAACAGAAATGGAAGAAGCTGATCACTTCAGTTACCTTCTTGAAACTAGAGTTCCCAAACCACAGGCAGGTACTCAAAAATGTGAAAGACAAATGCCATTAACCAAATAATTAAAACATAGACCATATTTATGCATAGTGTAAGTAAGTAATAACTAACTCAGCGTTTCCAGCATTAGAGCTAATACTTTTTGAAACTTTTTTCGCGATATGGAGCGGGCGCAGGCTCAAATATTTCCTACATTAAATATATCTACAAACAAATGGACTATATTTACTCATCTATAATTAACGTAAACGACGCGTCTCGTTCAACTATCGCTCTAGATACAATCATTCCACTCAATAGAAATGAATGGGTTTTAATAAGTTATTTTAGGTAACAATAAAAATGCTATACGTTTCCAGCACCATTTTAAAGGCACACCACATTCATCAGCGAACAGAATCAGGTGTTCGTGAGAGAAGAGAGTTAGAATGTTTCATTTGACGCAACGCCCCGTGTGTCCCAACCCCGGCTTTAAATTAACATCTCTTTTTAAAGCAGCATTTAGCAAAATCGGCTTCCCAGTCTACTCCTGCAGACCCGAACACCAGTAAGAATGTGGAGCATATCGAAACAGTTCGAAACTAACCATCGTCCTCTCCACTCGGATACCTTACGCCACTACCCTCCGTGACAGAATAGGCTGCCCTTTCGAATTATATCCTTTTCTGGGAGAGAATAGGATGTCTTTTAAGATTCTATGTGCATTAAGGCCCTTATCCGGCTTTTATTTTGGCAACCGTTGGTCGTAGACGTGTACTGCCAATTACAAAGATGTTTTAAATGTCGCAAAAAATTCTTTTCGTATTTTTAAATTAAAAAAAAAAAAACTAAAATATGGAATTAACTTTTCACACATTCCTCCGGTCCCTGTACTTATATTTAGGAAAATTTTATACTCATTATATAAAAAATAAAACAGAAAAGGTTTGACTCTCGTACAACAAACTGAAACGAGATATTCAATTCCATTTGCAGTTTTTGACGCCATTTTCATCTTGCATTACGGGACGAGTGATAAATAAATTAGAACCATCCGAGGTTGATTCTTTATTCCCCTTAAATGCCACTGAATAAAATTCTTGCGATTCACTAGTGTCTTTAAATTATAAATTTATTATATACACTAAGACAAAAAAATACGACGCTCCAAGAAAGAGTAATGGATATTGAACGCAAATTGATATGCATAGAGGTTTCGACGGAAAATGCAAAATTTTAAAGTTTGGCGGCCAATGAAGGAAGATGTGGTGCTGTAGCGCATCTTAACTGCGCAACTGGTACGACATTAAAGAGGAGAAATTTAGATTCGGAGCCATAATTTCGACCTCCTTTCACCCGGTCCGGGTATCTCCATGTCATGCGCCACGAGTCATATCTATCATTGATATGGCAACGTTGCGTTTTAAAACAGCGACAGCTCGGCATAAGAGTTTATTTACTGATTGATTCTAGGTTTTAAACTCATTGTGAATTTCATTCCGTGTACTCTGACAGTAACTATGCCTCGCATACAGGTGGTGAAACAATGCGCGCAGAAGTCAGCATTTAAGAGAGGACTTGTAGCTCGGCACAAAGAAGCCAGTTGGTCTAATCGGCAAGGAGGAAGCGGTCGGCCTAGACAGATGACAGAACGTGAGGACCGAACGTGAGTCCCAGAGTCATCATTGTCATGGATATTACGTGCAGCTGAAGCTTCAGTGATACTAAGGACAATTAAATAGACGGGTAAAAAAAAGGGGGGGCTGAGCTCACTACGCCTCTAACGCCATTTACGATTTACCTCTATATACCGACAAGCCCGTTCGCATTGATGTCGGGCACATCCGATTTGGAATGTCACTGACTGGATCTTCATTGATGAGTCCCGCTTCGAACTGAAACCTGACGACCAGGGAAGACATATCTGAAGATGCCCCGGACAGCGGTGGGATACCAACCTGACTATCGCCCGCCATACGGCTCGACAAGTAAGTGTGATGATTTGGGATGCCATTTCATTAAATAACAGGAACTTTTTTGGTTGTCGTACACAGTACCCTTACAGCACAGCGGTACGTCGATGATACTCTACGTCCCGTTGTGTTACCCTTCATAATTACGCCATCTTGGGCTTACATTTCAGCAAGATAATGCTCGACCACACGTAGTGATAGTTTCTACTGCTTGTCATCATGCTTATCTTATTAAGCAAAATAAACATACGTTTAAGGTATCGGGGAAGAGGGGGATCATAAAAAGTGTTTGGCGATTCAAAAATAGGCAACCCGAAAAATGTCCTCTGTTTTTATTAAGGAATGTATCGTGCAGTTAACCCAAGAACAAGAGAGAAGGAATGAAGAAAAATACAAATGTAAATGTGAAGGCACTAAAATATTAAGTGCTTATTGTCTTTAAAAGTTCTAATCCGGCCGGGCACTTAACTGTCTTTTCTACTTGGCATATTTAAAATATGGAGTAATCTATTCCTTGCACAGTCTTTCTAATCTTAAAAGGATATGTATTTATAAATTTTAAAATTTATAGTTTCCTTTTTTATAAACACAAAGTAATACATTAATTTAAATACGAATATTAAGGGTAAAACATTCAATTAATATTAAGCACCTAACACTTTTAATGTCCAGCAAAAAGGAATTTGTGAAAGAAATGAATGAAGGAAGTACACTCGCAATAAAATGCATTCGTAATATCCAAGCGGAGTAAAACAAAACTTGTGTTTACATTGGTTAAATACAAGGACATTGACTCTATACGAATGTGCTAGATAAACGTTAATGCGCCTAGACATGAGATTGTCTCGGAATAACATTTTCTTATTTTATACACTCATGTCCATAAATTAAGGATAATACAAAATCAGGCAAAGGAACAGTTAGAAGCAAAACAAATTTGACTAATTTGTAAAGCTTATTTATTAAACAAAAGGTAAAGAGCAAAAAAAGATGCTATATGTTAGATATTATTAAAAAAAATTAGCGATTTTTTCTCCCTGGAGCAAATTAAAAAAAAAAACCTATTTACAAAAAACCAATATTACATGGTTGGTATGATTGTTAATACATTGTATGCCTCCCAGATGATGCAATATAGTCCGTAAAACGCCTAGACATGCTGAGTATCAAATTATCGATCTGATCTTGGGGGATATTACACCACTCAAAAAACAATGCTCTCAGAAGTTCCGGTAGACATGTAGGAGGAGGTTGACGGGCTGCAACTCGTCGGCCAAGCATGTTCCACACGTGCTCTACTGGATTCAAGTCCGGTGAGAATTCTGGCCAGTCCATACGGGTGACATCCTCGGATTGAAGGCATTCGCTTACGATGTTTGCACGGTGAGGACGGGCGTTGTCATCTATAAACACAAATTGTGCGTCCATGGCGCCCCTAACAAACGTATATCTGCCCTAAACGTCTGTACACGGTCTGCTTTGAAATTGTCGTACCAGTGGCTGAAGAGAGCTGACGGGACAGGTCTGAGGCTGTGCTCCGCCTTTTTCTTTTGGCACTAACTGCCAAATACCGGTCCTCATTCGGCGTTGTAACTCTGGGGCGACTTGTGCTGTAACGTCTACTCACATTACCATCATCTTGGAATAGTTGTCAAAGCCTGGAGATGACACTCTGGGCAATTACAAGTTCTTCTAATACTTCCAGTTGGGTACGCCAGACGACCGATAATTCTACCACGTAAAAAATCATCCAAATGCGTCCTTTGTGTCATAACTATTCGGTTATTGCACTGAAATGCTTATAAAGCTCCTGCGAACAATTTTACTTCTTTGCCTGTATTCCTTATATATCCTCTTACACTCTCGTCATTGTGACGTACCATCGGTGTCATCTGGTTACTGAAATTTGCATATGATTCTTGAAGGTGTGTGTAGTGATTTTACAGGTGATATATTTATTTTAGAGTTCGATTTCTGCGTGACTCCAAATTATCCTTAATTTTTGGACATGAGTGTATTATATAGTACGTATATCTAATAAATTCGAGATTCAGAAGTCTTACCGGTTTCTTTTCCAGTCTTCTCTTTTAATCCAGAAGGGTCTTCTTTTTCTGAGCCTGTAAAACAAAGATTTTTTTTTTAAAACATATTTGAATAACGTTCTTAGGCAGATTCTAGTTTCCCAAAATTTTAGCTTTATCAGCCACAGGATTAGTTTTAATATAACACAGTTACGAAAATCAGGACTGTGAAATTAAATGTGTGATTTTTTTTTTTTTTTTTTTTTTTTTTTTTTTTCCTTTTTGCTAATATGCATAGGAAAGCCTATAACAGATGATCAAAAAACATGAGTTCACTGTCCGACTTTTTAAACATACTTCATAGTTCCCAATATGAAACTGTGGAAAGAATCCTTCTTTGACCACATGATCCTGGTGGATCCACGGTGTAAGTGTAAGATCTATACGGCTCACATGCGTATAGAGCAAACACATTAAAATTCGCTGTCTTTACAATGTGTATTATATTTAACTTTTGTTTCAAATTAATGTTAACAGAAATCTGCTTTAAACCGAACTAATTAGTTCTTAAATACAATACGAAAGATATATATAATTAGCTTGTAGGGTTTATATTTATTTTAACTAACATTTATTTTAAGTTTAAATTATCTTTCCTGTCAAGCCTTACTTTCCCCTGGAACTGCCAATGCCAGAATATGTAAATTTTAGTAGAACGCGCAAGGATGCAAACTATCAGCGGAAGTATTATGATTTAAATAGAAAGGAAACGAGTTCGGGGTGTGATATTCTTACTTCACGAGGGCGGAGGTAGTTAGCGAGAATTTGAAGAACCCCGCGTTTCGGCCTATGTGCTTGGCGGGAAGTAGTGTTAATCGTTCAAGTGAGCTTCAAGTCTGCTGAATTAGCAGCGGTATTGTAAAACGCGGTGAGTTAGTTATTTTAGAGAGCCTTGTAGTTAGAGTCTTGTCTTTAGTTTCTTTTCAGGTTATTATTTTTATTTGACCGCCGAGTTGGCGCAGTCTGTGAGCGTCAAGAGCACGCAATTGTAAATTTTTACGTTGAATAAAAAGGGACTTAAACCCTTCACAAGACTCTGTCTTTTATCCAGTTTTCACAGTCACCTCTTGGTTGCGTGCAAGTTGGAGGCGCGCAACGTTACAAGCTCACGATACGAGGTTATCATCTCATTAAATTCATGACAATCGAATCTCGTAATTTAAGCCCTCTAAGAATTGGTTTTGGGTTCTGAGCAGTCAGATTTCACGAATATTTACTCGAGAAGATCCACACCGTGAATCTGAATCTCACTTTAAAACCAGTTAATTTTTAAATTAACCAAAATCCCAAAAATATATTGGTTTTCTACGCATTACTTCCTTCTCTATGAAGCTATTCTTACGAATTTTGTATCTAAATATAATTTCAATGAACATCACATATAATTTCACATATAATCACATATATAATTTCAATGAACATCACATATAATCACATATATAATTTCAATGAACATCACATATAATCACATCTTCACATATAATTTCAATGAAATTGTATGTGAAGATGTATAATTAGCTCACGATACGAGGTTATCATCTCATTAAATTCATGACAATCGAATCTCGTAATTTAAGCCCTTAACAAAATTTTAGTTTAATTAACAAAATTTTAATTTCAACACGAAAATCTAAAGAGGAGGTGCTTTCCAGAAAAGTAAGAATACAGGGTATTAAACATTTATTTAAGTAAATGGTTATATCGCTATATTGGCGATGGTTTGGGCGACTAATTTTTGTCGACAAGTTTGGCGAGTGGGGAAATTTTGGTCTGTCCCCTGTATTACTGTAATGGATACTTTAATTTAATAACTGCAATTAATCTATATATGTCCTCATATACCTTCCAGTAATTTCGAGAAGTACTAGACATTTCTCGGCGGCCACGAGAAAACTATTATACAAGACCAGAGACAGCATCTACTCTATTAGTTCAGAGTTAAATTCAGAGTATTGAGATATCCGTCTTAACTTCGCTGTTTGGATCCGCTTTGTATTGCGTTGTGTTTAACGTTCTTAATAGTTTGAAGTGTAACTACTGATTGTGCTCTGTGATACTGTGAAAAGCTGTACGAGTATTATTGTGGAAAGTTCCACAACTAAGAAGTGTTTCTTTGGGTAAAATAAATTTTATTTCCATTGCTTGTGTGTGCATTCTATCTACTACAAAACCATAAGCAAGCAACATTTTATATTACAAAATGGAAGGTTCTTTGAGGATTTAATTTTTAGTATAATTTGTTGCTAATAATTACTAAGAACACAAATTCTCATATTATAATCAATATTTCACCTGTAAAGATTATCATTTAATCTGATAACCATTTCCTCGAAACTGATTCTTCAAAATAAATTTGTAAACTTTAGTAATAGAATACAAATCTTAAGAGAAGTAATTTTCACCTCAAATGAAAAACTTTTAACATAATGTAAATTTTTAGCACATGATCCATAAATGAGTGCAAATATTAGGAAATAACCTATTGGACCTATTTCGAAGATCACGTAATTTTACGTAGTATATACCGAGATTACATTTTTTAAGAGGAGAAATATGTTGAAAAGAAAATAAGTTTAAAAAATTTAAAAATTGGAGATTCATTTCGGACCCGTTTGAATATTCAGTCTCGCAGTTTCGACTGATTTGGGTTTCGATTAATGGAAGTTCGATTATATGAGGTTTTATTCCAACGTTATCAAACTCGCTCAGTAGAGTTGAAGTGAGGCTTTAGTTTAATATTGAAGTTAATAAGAATTCAAAAGCAAATTTCTCAAAATATTCACTTAAGCATGGGACTTTAATATTAATTTGGTTAATTAAATATTTCTCCTAAAACGCACATATAGCCATTCTGAAGAATCGCAGGCCTTTCACCTCTTGTGTTCTGGGGGCCTTATTGACGCTATCAAGATTAATGAAATCTGTTAAAATATGGAAATCCTACACTCGCGGAGTATCCGAAAAGTACTCGTACGTAAAGACGACACTGAACACATGTATAGTCTTAGAGTATGAATTTTAAAGTCTAATAAGAAATTTTTTAGCAATCACTACAGTTTATTTCCAACACTACCAGTAAAACTTAAATTAATCATTTTTCTGTTCCATAAGATAAAACCAACCAGTTTAAGTCTACCAGTATGACATCGCCTGCTGCCAATAACGTAAACGAATGCTTATTGTTGCGTTCTACGGGTTCATGGATTTGCAGTAATTGATGATAACAATGGATGAAGAATAAAAACACAATTTATTCGCCAGTATTTTACAGGACAGTTCCAAGAACACGTTCACAGTCGTCAAGAAACTACGATAAATACGCTGAAACAATCAGCAATATAGCCTTCAGGCTATAATGATGAATAAAGCTTCACGGCAAAGCACTAAAGTACAGCTCCCGACTCGGTCGATCGCCCTTAAGCTAATCTCTTAACTTAAGATACTACCACTGAATGCAAGATACTACTACTCTACGTACAGGCAGGATATATATAGCATTAACCTACCTTCGAGAATATTTTGGGTAAGAATGCCTTCTAGAATGTTCTCGTTCCGTCTATGGAATATCGCCGATTTTCGATAAATGAGCGATTTCGCACCAAATCTGATAACCCTGTCTTTCACTCCCACTTTCTGGCATCCCTAACAGCACTTTTCGGAGAAGCTAGCTTACCGCAGATGGGCTATTGCGCAACACTATAATGTCTTCACGAACGGATGTTCGGAAAGCAACTTTTGGCCTGAAATCCTAATTTCCTTCCCGCCCAGGCCCACCAGCGGCCGAGTGGTTAAATCTCTGAACACTGATAGTTCGGTCCAGGGTCCAGGGCTGGCTGTATGAGCGTTTTCGTGGTTTCCCAATGTGGGCAAGTTTCTTTTTCTCTACGAAGGCATCCTTGTCCCAAGGCAGATCGCCCTCATGTGCTTTGCAGTAATTCAAATAAACCAAACCAAACTTTCCAGCTAAGAATTAAATAATCTAACATAGTGCTTTTACTTTTATTTTACTCATGTATCTCACTGATTCTCCAAGAAGCCAAACCAATGTTGAAAATTGGAAATAGAATGTCAAAAATTTTCTTTGGATTACAAATACTTTTCCACTGCCAGAAATTAATATTAAAAAAAAGTTCTGTAATGCAGTATAAATATATAAAAGTAAAGCAAAATGAAAAAAAATTCTTTAAATATACAAATCATGACAGAAATCGAATATCTGGGTTAATAAAATTAGCATTTTATATACATATGAAGACGGTCAAAAAGACAGACCATAAAGAGCAGACCCGTTGTTAAACCATAGAACGCTTGTTTTGCATCTACTAAAATACAGCATTTTACTAATTCACATACACTTTTTGTTTAAAGCAATATCATAGAACATGATAAAACTTATATGAACATGATGAAGTTTAATACTATTGTTTTCAAACTTAAAAGGAAGCATATGAGTACAAACCTATCTCCACAGCTGAAGGTTCGGGAACACAGACACCAGAATTGTATCGACCTTCAATGGGATCGCCATAATCATCGATTTTACAGATATATCCTTTTGGACAGCCCACCGGTTCTGAAGGTGCAGGTCTTGGCGATGTGGTGCAACGAACAACTGCAAAACATTCATGGAAAATATAGTAGCATAATGAACAAAAATCGTTATTTCAATTAAAAATATTCATCAATTTGGAAGTTTTGATAAGGCAGGTAAGCAGACAAAGAGAACTTAGGTGTATACACACAAATATTTAATAGGTTTATAGTTTTACGACTTTTTAATTTATGAAATATAGTGTTGAGCCATTTTCATTTACGATATCCATGTCAATATAAGTGTTCCATAATTGAAGTTGTTTGCAGTTCTCATAAATTTGCTAACTGGATAGCTAACTAGTTATACAAATCCGTCAAGATGTAATGAATGAATAATTAAAACTCAATAATTACGGCACAAAGTCATTTACAAACACTTGACCTTGACATAACAGCGATTATCGTAAAATGGATTGTAATCTCCAACAAACTAGGCAATAACCTATACCAATTTATAGGAAACTTGAAATATAAGCAAAAAAATATGCACTATATAAAAAATTATAAGCCTGCCCGTTAAAATTCGCCTAAATTATTAAGCAAGATCGAAAATGTTAGCTGTACTTCGTCGTCTAGCTCAGTCAGCATTATAACTGCCGTTTGTTTTTATCTTCATGACACCTTTGCAAACAAAAGGCAAGACGTCTTGTAACCAGAAAATAGAAAGCATGCCATCGAAGATGTTTAAAAGAATATTACTCATTATGAATAAGCAATTTCGAGAGTTTGAGAAGATTAACTGAATTTTATTACATAAAAATGGGAACTTTTCAATGTATGTTTTACTAAATTATGCGCAAAAAGTTTCCACCAGGTCACCCAAAACTCCGTTAACTTTTGAAAATTCAATAATTCACTGAATAATGTAGATAGAGAGGTTAAAAAATTCACCACACGTACTTGAAATGTTGCAGGGTTTTATTGAAAGCAAAAAAGTGTTTAAAACGGCCAACAGATGGCGTTTCATATGATAAAAGCAATAATTAGCATAACAATTGATTTTTAGCAAAGAATAATGTTCTTTATAACAAAGTTCCAACATGTCGTCCGTCATTCATCAACAATACCTGTAGTTGAGGGACAATATTATTGTGAACAACACTGTATAGCACATTTGTAGGTATAGTGATAAATTGCCGTCGGATGTTGTCTTATCATCCCTAATGCCCCGTTTATATCCCTGCATGTGACGTAAATTATTTGCTATGATAGTAGTTCTCTTTTTCAAATCCTGAACATGCAGAATCCAATTTAATTTTTCGTCAAATGTTAAGCAAAGAAACTTTAGCTGCTTTTTGATGCCAATTCTATTTCCATTAATTGTAATTCGTGGTTGTCTGACCAAAAATCCTCTTTTTTCTGGAATAAGCAAAATGGTGGATTTGGATTCCGAAATGGAAAGTTTAATTTTGGTGCATAATTCATGGAATAAATTGCAAGTCTCTGTGGAGTTTCTTTGTAGTTCGCTCTGCGTTTTTTCTTTTACTATGAAGCAGTGTCATCTGCATATGCATATAAGCGGGTATGTGCTGACCAAATTGAGGACAAAACATAATTAAACGTTATGTTCCATAGGTCGGGCCCAGCACAGGAACCCTGAGGGCAGCCTCAATTTTGTATTTTGGTAATAATTTCTTGACTTGTAATATACATCAATTTACGTTCCGTTGAATAACTTTTAAAAACATGAAAGATTATATATTAACATGAGGCATGACAAGGGCAACTGACTAGGGCAGTTTGCCCTTCTCAATAACTCAAGGATGGCAGGCCACCACAGAGTATCAAAAGCATTTTTTAAATCAATACTAATGAAAGCGGTGGAACGATTGCAGTAGACTTGCGACTTCAGGTAACCCCACAACCAATAATCACGCGAACTGAGATCTGGAGACCTGAGAGGCCAACGTAAGTGGCGGCTCAGCCGGTGATCCTAACCAAGCGATGTGTTGAAGTGATCTTTCATACGTGTAACAATATGGGGTGGACCGCTATCCTGCATAAAAGTGGTACCTTCCAACAGGCGTTTATCAGCCAGACTAGGGATGATGCGATTCTGTAACATATCAGTGTTCCTTGCACCCGTCACACTGACAGTTTGAACAGCAGAAAAACGCATTTCCTCGAAGAAAAAGGGTCTGATCACGACTAAAAATGATAAATCCACATCACAGCGTGACCAACACCCGGAGGCGAGGATAGACAAGTCAGGAAGAGACTGATTCTCTCTATCACTACAGCTCATTTCATACACGATTATCATGCGTCGTCACTGATATTTTGCTGCCCAACACCATATGTTGGCCTTTCTTGCATTTTTTTTTTTGGGGGGGGGGGTTCGATAAAACTCCACGTTACTTTAAGCATGTGAGTCAATTTTTATCTCTCTACCTACATTATTCCTGTGAATTATTGAATTTTCAAACGTTAACGGACTCTTGGATCACCCGGTATATATATAATATTCCGGTTTAATATGCCCTATAATGCGTCTATAAACAAAGAAATTGATTTCCTGGGGAAAATGAATAGATAAATGGTGCCGTCGAGCAGGAGCAGAATTTTTGCATAGAGTTGTCAGAATTTTACTTCATTCCTTGTTTAATAAATGAAAAACTAAAACCTACACTAGACAATTTTCCTAAATATGTGGACTAAATGTTCCTGAATGTTATGAACGCATACTTTCTTTATACATACACTCTTTGCATGCATTTTCGCTGCGAATTAATTGACTAAGTTAGAAGAATTGAAATAAATGGAGTCATTCATACGCGGATAAATTTCAATAAACATACAGGCAAACCATTTACAGCAACTTGAAGAAAAGTACAGCAACCAAATCACGCAAAAAAAAAAAAAAAAAAAAAAAAAAAAAAAAAAAAAAAAAGTTTCAATACTGCGATATATAATGAATACATAAAATTTAAGAAGATATATATTTATATTTAGTACCGTAACATAACCAAATCTGTTTCTGCCAAGATGTAAACGTACAAGCACTTTCATGACTCACAGGAACCAAATGGTAGCGAGAGAAATGCAAAGGTAAATCTTATCTACATAAAATTAGTGATATATTGCGCTACTGCAATAGTAATTCCGCTGTTTGCTGTTAATATTACGACTAGTTTGAGTTACTGCCTTTAATATATATTTTGACTAATATAGTAAAACATTTCGCGAAGCGCGACGAGCGGTAGTTAAAGGTGGTTATGTTTTCCACCCGTACTTACGCATTTTGCCAAAAACATTCAGAGCGTCAGAAACTTTAGTTCGGGAACGAAGTTCTTTGGGGAAAACATTTCGCAAAAAGTATTTATTACGTTTAAAAAAGCAAGAAAGAACATTCATCATTCTATAAAAAAGCTTCAGCTTGTTTTCTTACAACTGTAATTTTCAGTTGCTCCAGTTCGAAACTACGTAACTACTTCGTTTACCGGCGGGCAGAATTTCTCTTCAACGCTTTCAGAAATCTTTCGAGTTAACGGAAAATGATTTCTAATATTCATAATATCCTTGCTTTTGAATTACTTCCGATAATTCTAGTTTCGTGAAACCTGCAGGTTATTACTAATTAAATACTCATGATATTGTAATCGGAAAAGTATTTAAAATTACCTGTTACTTATTAGCGCATTAGCTAACAAAACAGAAAGCAACAATAAAAATGTACATTTATAAGGTATTTCTCCCGCGTTCTTAGCATGCCTTCGTGGTATAGTGGTCTGCATGCTGGGCGCGTATTCCAGAAGTCCTTGGTTTGATTCCCGGCGAATGCGTTGCTCATTTTTCATGACTCTGCTTTAAAAAAATACCTATGTCTCTATGGTGGCGCCCGAATTAAAAAAAAGGGTGGTGGATGATGATTCTCAGGATTTGGTGATTGGGTCCCCTAAAACCACAGCCCCCTTTAAAAGGGGGTATATAAGATATTCCTCCCGCCTTCTTAGCATGCCTTCGTGGTGTAGTGGTCTACATGCTGAGCGCGTATTCCAGAGGTCCGTGGTTCGATTCCCGGCGAAGGCGTTGCTCATTTTTCATGACTCCTGCTTCCAAAAAATACCTAATGTTTCTACACACGTTGCACACGAAAACGGAGCAGTTCTGTATCTGCCGTTCTATGACCTGACTGACGAAATTTAATTTAGAGCATTGTTCTAACATTGATATTTTAATACAAAATCGTACTTTTCCTGAAATATACCTGCTTTTTTTGTCATATCACAATTCTATGACTCAAATTATGCATAAATATTAAATTTTGTCAAATTTGAGGAAGTTAAAAATTTATCTTGGCACACTTTTTTCAGTTCGCGCCGAGAATAATTTATCTGGCGAAGTTCATAATTTATGGTAACCTATTTTCCTTTCCCTTTCATTGCGAACGAGCGGTAAAAATGGCACAACGTTCATTCTATCGAATAATTAAATAATAAACGATAAACATGTTAAATGTGGTTTGCGCCCTTTATTTAATTCTTAATAAAGAGCGCAAACCCCATTTAGCATGATTATCGTTTATTAAAAAATATGCCAAATTCCAAAAGGCGTCAATATCTGAATTAAAGTATATCTTGCGAAATTTTGAATAAAAATCTCTAATGCCTAGAAATACATATACTTTAAGATGACGGCAAAAATTTTATAGGTTATAATTCAAAATATTTTTTAAAATAATTATAACTACTAAAAATACAAAATAAAAATAAATCAGAAAAATATCTGAATTTTGTTCGGATTGAACTTACATGTTTACATGTAAGTTCCTTACATTAAAGGATTTATAAATAACAACTTCTGGAAGACCAACTAATAATTGCATTTCGTAAAATTAGCCTTTCAAAATTATTTTCCAACACGTTGATAGTGGCGTTAGCAGCATGACATGAGGCTTCATTTTGTTGGAGCCACATGTTCAGAAAATTTAACCACAAAAATTTGTTATTACTTGCGCACTGCATATAACTGCATCTCCTTCCTCATTCTGAAAAAAGGAAATGCCATAAACCACATCATAGAGTGATCTTTCGCGAACACAAGGACAATTAGTACTTTTCCATTTTGCTGGCGCAGGCGATAAAGTCGCCAGAAATGGTACAACCGATGCTAAACTGAATATTCTCGCTGGTAAACTTTTACGCTTGATTTTCAAAACAAGTAGTAGCAATTTCTTATCGCATTTATTGTTTCTTTCAATACTGGCATAAAATTACATAGAATTTTTACCACATAGTTCAATTTTATGCCCTAAGTGATAGAAATTACTTTCAACCTGTTAGGTTTAGCTTCGCTGTGGATGTTGCTTCTTTCGGAAAAATCAAAATTTCTTCTTTTCTGCTAAATAAACTTCTTTCATCAGCATATCGTGCTGGTAAAGTAAAAAATTACTTAAATGGCAGATATATTTTGAAAATATAGTAGAAAGAAATAAGTAAACCACAAATGCAGATTACATGTTTAGTTAGCCAAGTAAATAAACATGTAACGTGCATTTGTGGTTTGTTTATTTCTTTCTACTATATTTTCAAAATATATCTGCCATTTTTACAGTAATTTCTATCATTAAGGGCTTTTGTACCCTACATCATTTGCAGTAATTAATTCAATTAGGATGCAAACACACCGCTCACCCGAAGGCGAAAATATAGAAAAAGCGAAATCAAGGGTTAAATTCATCAATTCTAATGAGAATGCTCTAGCAAAGTAAAGCACTGCGGTTTTACATAATTTCTGAGTAAGCTATTCGTACGAATTGAAATAATTCTTTCATTTAAATTTGTATTCCATAAGATTTAACTTGAAATTAATGTAGATAATTACTGACAGAATTAGATTTTTGTAGCGTAGTTTACGTGGGATGAGATTATTTATTTATTTATTATTATAGTTTACGTGGGATGAGATTATCATGTGATATGAACCGGTGAATCAGGATGTTGAACCATGAGATCATAGTAAATTCTTCAATTAATGTCTTTTTACAAATTTATCGCCTTTATTTATTGTCTTTTTACAAAATTTTAAATGATATTAAAATGTTTATGCTTTCAAAATAAAAAATTCTTAGAACTAACATTTATTATTTATGTGTATACTGCGTGTTGTCGCCAATAAAGTCTGCTTGGCGAAATTTGCGCCGGCCAAGAGGAAAAGTACCCGACAATTATATGGATAGCTTTCGCGAAGTGCACGTTGAGTATTCCCAAAAGGATTCTTATTTTCACAAAATTTTTAAATAATAAAATAATGTTCTCGAAACATGTTTTTTAAACGTGATGAATTGTCAGATCATTAAACACAAAAATTACTGGCAGCGGTAACATTTTTAACATGGTTGCCATTTCGTTTTAAAATCATATTCTCATTGGAATGCTTTTTGCATTCTTAATTGTAACTAAAGCAACAAAATAACTGCTTTTTTATATAATTTGCATGAAATTCCTGATAATCTCTCAAGTAGTACTGGAGTCTTAGCCCAAATTAAAATTTTTCGCTTGTGCAGAATCAGATAGAAAAATTTTCCGCGCTATAAATTGGAAAAAGCGAAAACCAAAGCGTGAAATACATACAAAAGGTCATGGTCAACAAATATTAGTTAGAAAATTTTCCTCAAAAATCCGCAAGGCCCATCGTCTTAAAGGTTTACGCAAAGATAGATAGCCATACGTTTTCCATAACTAATCAATCATTCATAAATATTTCTCGAAGTTGGTAAGCCTCACCGGTAATTTTCTGCTAATATTTTCTTACGTTAAAATCAAATTTAATTAACCGAATTTAAGTTATTACAAGTATATTCATAACTAATCAGCACAGGACTATGAATCTAATTTTGTATGAGAATACAATATGAATTATTTTGAAGGTCAGGACTTGCTTTTTCAGCGTAGATTAAAACCTAAACAATAATGAGAATTAACTGAGTTAAAATCACATATTATAACAGCAAGTATTCCTAATAGGTAGAGGGTAGATTTAATTTCGATCAGTTATAGCTACCAGGGCATTTTTAAAGGTTAACCACAAACATGGCACAATATCATTAGTAGTTTTATTATCAATGCCATTTAACCTTTTAAATTTCATCTCTAATCTTCCTTTCATCAATCTTAGAGTACAAGATGCTCAAATCTCTTAATGTAAACTTCGGAATCTTTTACGTAAAACGTCTAAACAAATTAGTCATCATTAGAGATTCCTGTAGTTAGACGCTTCTAAAATGCAGTTTGTTTTATCTCTACATATAATAAAAGCAACAGTCTGTGTGTGCCTTTCTTTCGTGCTGCGCTTAAGCTAATAGATTCAGGGTTACGAAATTTAGTATACTACATCTAGACAAGAGCCAGTGCACCTCGAAGCGATTTTTTCAAAATTCGAATCTTTTTTTTTTTTTTTTAATCTTTTCGATTTTTAACGCATCATTTTGAATAGTTTCATTCTTTTAGAAATATGGTTTTGGCAAAAGATTTTCATTCAATGCTTTCTATACTGGACTGCTGACTGTTAAAAATATGAGATAAAACGTTGCTTTTTTTTTCTTTTGATTTTTGGACATGCAACAAGCACATCGCAATCTTCTTATTCTGACGCGCATGTGTCTCGCGAGGCGCAACAGAAAGAATTTCCTTTTTCTTTCCCTCTCGCTCTCTTTATTAGCTAATGGCAAAGAAGTTTGTATGAATTATGTCATTCACAAAACACAGTTATAATTGGTTGTTGCTTTCATATGATAGTTTCATTCTTTTAGAAATGTGGTTTTAGCAACAGTTCATTGCTTTGCATACTGGACTGCTGACTGTTTTCTCTTGAAAATATGAGATTTATTTCTTATTTCTTTGTAATTTTCTATATTATATTTTAATTATATATAATTTTAGTTATATAACAAGTTTTGCATGATTGTTTTAGAAAACAAAGTTCTCAACTTCCTTTACACCATTTGCATTCTTAAGATTTTGCAACGTGCAACGGGAAGTTGGTTAATTTATTTATTTGGATAATTAATATTTGTATTAACGGATCTTGCTTATTTCATTGTAATTTTGTGATATGTAATACATGTTTTTCTTTTTCAAGTTGTTCTGCAGAGTAAAATTCTGCGCAGTTTTTAAATTTAACGTTTGGCATTTAAAAGCCAGACAAAGGCTGACCGCGTAGCTGTTAGTTTATTACAAATAATAAAACATTTTCCTGTATGTTAGTACAGGATCGGAGGAACGTAAAAAATTCAAATTTTGTATTTTTTGCAAAATCGATTTCTTTTAACTTAAAAATGCCAAAACATTTGTCTTTGTATCATCTAAATCATTTTTTAGCTGGCAATGTATGTCTGCGACCAACAGTTACGAAACCAAAGGCCAGGAAATCCGCTGAGATATAAGAACGCTGGAGGCAGAGAAATACAAATTTTTATGAGGAAAAAAGTACCTGAACAACCAACGCGTACTAAAATTTGGCAAATGAAATACGTGAAAGATACAAAAAAAGCTATATGTGCCTTTATTTTAAGAGAACCTGATTAGTTAAAAATTTGGATGGTTGCGTAATTTCTGAAAAGAAACAAACACTGTCATAGTAAAATCGTAACAAAATGGTGGATTTAAAAAGAAATAGTTTTTTACCTATTGGCAAAATTTACTAAAATTTTAATTAAAGTGTGTATCTTACGTTAATTAACTAGTTATTACGATTTAAGTCTTTATTATAACTTCTTTAGGTATTTCTCACCAGATTATTATTGCTTTTAATTGAAATTAGCTTTGTGCATATTTGAGCTGAGAGTTCCTAGTGTTTAAATAAGTTTCCGACAATGACGATTTGCTGTATTTTCGCCAGCTCTGCTTAAAAGTTATAATCCGGCTTTAGCATTCTCGCTAGCCAGTGTTTTAAATCCGCGTCATGAAAATATCTGAGCCACCTTATTTTTACTCTTATATGCAGTCTTGGACTATGTTATCAAAGTTTAATTTGAATGAGATTAATTCGAAGATTTCCAAGTGGTGGAAATTTTCGTCTGGGGCAGAAGTTGTTCCTGGTCTTTTTAGTTTAAGGCAAAAAAAAAAAAAAAAAAAAGGTTATTTTAGCCTTCTGTATTTTGTGAGTTGTTTAGGACGCAGCGATAACTCGCTGTTTGTCTAGCAGGGTATGTAGGATTAACTCTAAACGTATCACATATGTTCTAGAATGAATCGAGTAAAAACGGGGAGAACTACACGCTGTCTGGTCAACATAAATCCCATTCAGCAAGTGACTGTAGCACTGAAAAGTCAAGTCAGTTGAAATAAATCTCTTTATTAGTAGCAATGAAACTGTAAATAACGTTGCATGATGTTCTAATCTTCTTGTGACACCACATACTGTAAGTAAGATATTTTTCTCCCTCCAAATTTGAAATTCTTCAAATTGTATATTAATTTAACTGTATATATTTAAATTCTTAGACTCTTCGGTTACTTCTACAACAAATGTTCATTTTCAATTGATTATTTTGTGAAAACAAATTTCAGCATTGGTTTACTATTGGCATTAAAATAAAGGCACATATAGCTCTATTGGCAGTATAATTTTTACGCTAGATGAAACTTTTTCATATACATATTTTTCCCTGTATGCTGTATACTCAAAAACTAGGACTTGAGATGGGCTTCGTATTTTTTTTACCTACAGCGTTTATTTCTGTCAATATTTCCTTTGACGAAAGTAAAAACGAAGAGAAATATCTTACCAGCTTCACCTTCTTTTCGAAGAGTTGGAACATCATGTTCATCATCCCAGTCAATAACTGCAAATGAAACAGTTTTGATGAATATGGGCTAGAATACAATAAATGGCATATGCAGAACAAAAATTCGATAAATTCCATAGTTTGAGAATTAACAGTTATAAACCAGTTCTAAATAAATTTTGCTGCTTCAAGTCGGATTTTTTTCGACTTTAAATAATATTCCCCTTTAAAGTTAAAAAAATTACGGCAGTTAATGAGCAATTATATTTTAATATCTTAATCGTCATGCCTGGCTTATATATAGGCAATTACTCCAAAGTGATTCTGTCTTGACTATGCATCTTTTGGACCGTTCTTCATAAATGCGTTAGAAAAGCCTATTGCGCTATTCATTTTTATCGCACAATAGTTGTAGTGAAGTCAATAATGAATTATGATGATGACCACCGGTGATCATCATTGTCGTAGTCATTATGATCATCGTTGCCGTCATCTTCATAGTTTTCTGCAGTTTTTTTACTACTGATTAACCTCATTTTTGAAAAGTAAGCACTGGCTTTAAAGATTTTAGCACCGAAGAATTCTGATAAAATTTTGGTGCATTTCTTCCGAAGCGTGTTTCCTTTACAAGATTAAGGTGCTAGAATTCGCGTATACGTCTGAAACGTAGTCCTGTAAAAGGCTACGGTATTAGATGAAATTTATCATACGGAGAGAAAAATTTAATTTTGAATACCATTAAGTACTAATTATTGATAAACCAATGTAAAATTTTATGAATAAAGCTACAATTTTGTAAGGTATTAGCTTAAATTATTTGTACTTTAATTTTAGTTATATAATATAGATACAGTAAAACCACAATTCACGAATTCACTTCGTTCCCGAAGGCTGTTCGTCATTCAAAATTTGCGTGAATTTGAATTTGTGTTTTACCCATTGTAATTATTATGAAGTGGAATGTGTCCCTAGACCACAAAATATTTGTAGTATTTAAACTTTTACAACTGTACCTTGTTCAAAAACTGGTAACGCAAAACTAATGGAGGTTCTTAAATTCTACGATAAAACAGCATTAAGCAGAAAAAGTAACAAGAAAATTTAATTTTATCTACCTTGGGCAGCCTAAGAGGAAAATGATGAGGAAGAAGAGACGAAACATTGTAGTTTGAATGAGGAGTCTCTTTCAATAACATAAGGTAACTTTCTGGGGCATATTTTAATATTTTGTCTTTAAATAGAATCGATTCAGATTTACAGAGGCTCTGTTTCATTCAAACCTCGTCCAGTGTGGATTTGATATTGATATTTTCAAATTTTCTAAAATGAGGCATGGCACTGTCATTGAAAATCCTTATTATATAGTTTGCTACTGCTTTATCAAGGTGAAATGTTTTTATTTAAACTTAACTACATCATATCCCATTTTGCACAAATTTCGCAAAGAACAAGGGCTTCTTCCTTTCTCTGAAGACATTTCCTCCCCAATAGCCTTTTGTTGCTGCTTCTGAAGCTGTTCAATTTCTTTCTTTTCGAGCTAACCTTTTAGGTTTTATATCAAGCCCACTCTGTCTTTGCTGCTAACTCCCAAGTCCATGGCTTTGCGCAAGGACAACTCCCAAGTCCATGGCTTTGCCAAGGGCAGATAACCTCAAAAATATCATTTAGTACCAAGCCTTTAAAAGTCGCTGCGTGCAACACAATCTGGCCTGCTACATTGTCTACCCGGATCCAGCTTCTATATCATTCCACTTCCAGCGACCATAGAGGCAACCACTTCCAGACAGCCGGAACATCAGTGCAGCTTTGCCCGATAAATGGCTGGGGTGTACATTGTCAGGTGGAGTTGGACAATGCTGCGATGATTTCCTTCAGGACGAATTCATGTTCACTTAAATCACTTGTTGCCAGGCTTTGTTTATGAGAGTCAAACAACTCAAAATATTAATATGATGTTTCTAGAAGTCCCCGAATGTTAATGGTGTCAGTGAAAATTATGCTGAAATTATATTGCTCATTTCAGTGTTTGTAACTCAATACATTGCCACCCGAGCTACGTTTTGCTGCTCAGATTTGTTCGTAAACCGATTTTTTCTTGATACAAGGCTTTCGTGATCCAAGGTTAAAATAGAGATATGCTCTTAGTTCACTAACTCAAAGAATCGATTAACTTTACAAAGCGAGCGAGCAGTTGATTCGCGAAAAATTAACGATAGTTCTTTTGCCATCCATAAAGTGCACTTGTTGGAAGTGTGCCAAGGAAGCTTGATTTCCCATTTTAGCCGATAAAAGAAAGTTTATCCTCCCATGATGAAAGTGAGTTTAATTTTTATCATTAATCAACTTTTAAAAAATTATTTCAAAATTTTATTGTAAGCTCTGAATAAAAAGGAGATTTTAGGGAATCTCAAAACAGTTGAAAGGAATAAGTTCAGAAGTCAGCGGTTTAATTGAGTCGATTCTTCGGGGTTCATTGATAGTTCGATTTTTTTCGATCTTCACTACATCCTCGCTAAACCGATCTTGATTCACACCTCGTTCCCAATCTTTTTCATGAAGGTTATTGTTAGAGAGCGACAACTCAAAAAAGAACCGATTCACTTCAATGGCCGAACGATTCTGATGATCTGATCCCGTAAAAAGGTCCTCTACTCTACAAGCACTAAAGCTTTCCTCCCAAACTTACGTGTCTGAAAAAAGACAAAAATAAAGAAAGAAAAATGCCCGATTTTCAGGTAATTGTATACTGCTTAAGAAAAAAGTTAAATGCTGTCTTCTAGTCGCAGTTTAGAAGCAAGACTAAATGGTGTCAACCGATTCCCAGTTTTCTGAATAAAATATAGCAAACCAAATATTTTAACCCATTTTTCGTGAAATTCTTCTAATTTGTATAGTCTCATAATGAGTTTCACTGTTATTTTAAGATAGATTTATTTCCTGCTTAACTATAAGAAAAATCTAGAAAAACCTTCAAGAACATGCTGAAAATAAACAGCAACAGAACTCGCAGTTACGACAAGCAACACTAGACAGAACTGTGCAATATTCATCAGCAAGGCCTAGCAAAATAAAAGTTCAATAACTACACTCGTTTAACGAATGCCTTTGTGATGACGACGTTTGACACTATGTTACAAACTCATAAATTTATTTTCCTGTACAGTTATTTTTACATCTTTTGGATTATTGTTGTTCCTGTTCCAACTACTCAAGTCCTCTTCTAATACAGCGGTACCCCCTCGGTACCATCATCAATACATTCCAGGACCTTGGACACATACGAAACGAACTTTTCTAATAAGAAGAAAAAGCGGGAAAAAAAACTCATACGAAAATCTTATTATAACACTCTAACCCTAAAATATAAGAGCAGTGGGTGAAATGTATGCTGTACATAAATGAAACCCTGCGCAAATTTCTATACATAACATTTTTATGCTATCCGGATCAAAAGCAATTTTTCTACAATCTCCAACGTCTCTGATCCTTGGGAAGGTACAGATTTCAACTCCTTCGCAACTTCAGCTGATTTGTTTCTCATAATTCTAGACAATAATATATTTATTATAAGATATTTTTCAAAAATCATTGTTTCTTCTCCATGATGATCCTAACAATAGTCTTCATTGCTTGACACTTCTCAGTGACTTTGCTTAAAACTTATTATTAATGAATTTACAAAGCATTTAAGCGGTGAAATAAAATCACGTAACGCTGGTTGTTTATTAAATTTTAAGAATAGGTGTACTGACGCTCATAGGCAGTCGTAGAATTGTCTGGAAAGAGGTAAACAAGTGTAGTGCGCGCGGTGCGACTTATCGTACTTGAGTCCTACTCCAAATAAATGTCTCGGACTCAAGTTTTCGGATTTAAAGAGGAATTATAGCGAGATAGTATCACTGTACTAGATTAGTTAGTCGTACTCCAAATAAATGTCGTATACAATAAATGTTTACGGATTCAAAGAGGACGTATGGCGAGATAGTATCACTGTACTAGATTAGTAGTCGTACTCCAAGTAAATGCCGTATACAATAAAAGTTTCCGGATTCAAAGAGGACGTATGGCAAGATAGTATCACTGTACTAGATTAATTACTCGTGCTCCAAATAAATGTCTTGTACAATAAATGTTTTCAGATTCAAAGCGGACGTATGGCGGGATAGTATATTTGTACTAGATTATTTAGTCGTACTGCAAGTAAATGTCGTATACAATGAAAGTTTCCGGATTCAAAGAAGACGTATGGCGAGATAGTATCACTGTACTAAATTAATCAATTTAATGCTCTCAAGAAAGTAACAAGCTTTGCATACGAGTTTTCTCACACAGTTTTCGAATTTTGGTAGATATAATTTGTTAGTTAAATCCAGATTAACTAATTACCTGGCGGAGGAGACATCTTGGTAACACATGTGAAAATGCATCCATTGAAACAACAACTTTTATTTGTAGATTGGCAATCATCATCTGTCCTACAGGTTGTTAGTTTGCAATCGTTCTCTTCTAACGGCAGTTTAGGAGCAGGACAAAATCTGAAGGACGAGTTCTGAGACAACAGCTTTGTCAGGTATGATTTCAATTCTTCCTGTTAGAAAAAAAGAAGTAAAATTCACATTCAAGGCTTTCCGAAAAATTAATCCTTACACTTTATTACAAATAGCAGTTTTTATTTCAAAGATTATGAAGTATCTTTTAAAGGAATCGTTCATCTCCGATTTCAGTATTGAATATATCACTTTTATTGAACAGTCTTCGCGTTACTGTTGTAATGCTGCGCGCTTCCAACCTGCACGCAACAATAATGGTGACTGCTAAGAACTGGAAAGTAGACAAAGTCTTGAGAAGGGTTTAAATCCCTTTTTATTCAACTTTAGAAATTACAAATGCGTGCTCTTGACGCTCACAAACTACGCCGACCCGGCGGTAAAATAAAAATAAGAAACTAAGCAAAGAATAGTAACAAGTGACTAACTACGAGGCTCTCTAAACGTAACTAACCTCACCGCGTTCTAAGATACCGCTGATAATTCATCAAACTTCTGAATATTACGTTGAAAGATTAACAATCTGCCGAGGCAAGCACACAGGCCGAAACGCGTGGTTCTTTAATTTCTAACTAGCCACCTCCACGCTCGTGAAGCAAGAAAGCACACTTTCGAACTCGTTTCTCTTCTATTTAACTCAGATTACTTCCGCTGACAATTTGAATCCTTGCGCGTTCTACTAAAATTTACATACTCTGGCATTGGCAATTCCAGGGGAAAGTAAGGCTTGACAGGAAAGATAGTTTAAACTTAAAAAAATGTTAGTTAAAATAAAATATAACCCTACATTTGCCGCTGCCAGAATTTGGTAAACTTGGAAGCAGGTCCTAGAAACGACCTGTTGAAAAGTTTCCACAATTCTGAACTAAATTTTAAGAGCCTCGTTTACATAAAAAAAAAACTGTTTTTTTATGTCACAAAAGGTAGAATAAATTTCTGTAGATACTTATTTAACTCTCTCTTCTTACAGCAACCTTTTCCTGGACTTCAGCAATCAATCTTGTTCTCTTCCTTCCAGCATCTGGAAGGAATAAGTATCAGTATCTTTCTAAATACATTATAATTTACACTTTCTTGACACTGAATAAAGTTTTTTTTTTTTTTTTTTTTTTTTTTATCGATTTATTTTCCTTAGTTACTTGCTTAATTTCACATTCATTCAAGTATTCAAACATGAATTTAACTTTAACTTTACCCTGGCTCTCCACCATGTGTGGTGTCAAACGGGAATATTCGTGTTTTAGTATTACAACACTTCCCCTAACCACAATGATTTGTTAGAATTCAACGACCAAATAGACACACCTTACTCGACATTCTACAACTCGAGCTACTTTAACATTCTTAAAAATTCAAGTGTAGGTGGAGAACCCTACAAAACACATTCATTCTAACTTCCCCCTCATTCATCTTTAGACATGCAGGCTTTCGCTCTAAAGCATGATTTTATCTACAGTTTAATACTTAAATTTGAATTCATTGCTTTTGAAGCATTTACTTTTAGCATCTAAATTTTTATGCTTCTAGACTAAATTCTACTTTTACATAACTTTCAAGTATTTACGTATATTTACAAAATTCTAATACATATGATTTTTACAAATTTACCATAAAATGAATAAGAGAAAAATAATTTTTTACTTTACTCATTCTTCGCCAAGCTGGCGGCACTGAAACTAAAGTTCTTATTAATACAAGAATACGAAGTTATTTTTATCTTCGGCCAAATTTTGGCTTTAACATAACAGAATTAGTCTTTCGACCAACAGAAACTGCTTGTTCTTAGATTTTATACTTAAAGAAAATAATACTTTTGCCTTAGCTAAATAAAGTAAAACAAAACTAAGTCTCAACCGAGACATATTGACTTTCGTCAAAACATAGAACTTCGTACTTACGCATAACATTTCGGAACAAAAGAAAAAAAAAAATTTATAGAAGATTTTAACTTATCTTTGAGTTTTCGATGATTGGAAACTCCGACATCCTCTTTTTGGCAGAACTGCTCCCACGTTATAGGTTTCATGGACGTCAATCTTCTCCTTAGGGTCCTTCCGAGTGTCGTCCACGTTGCTTTTTCTTTTTCGCCCTCTGCATGCTGGCCTCTTGGAGTGAGTAGTCGTCGGGTTGCTGTCTTTTCCGTTTTTGACCCTGGACGGCTGGTCTTGGACGTCCTCCGGTCTGGAATCATGCTTGAATTTCTTCTGTTGGTGGTGGTCTTTTCGTTCCTCCTGCTGTCTTTTCAGTTCTCGGGAACGGCGGCCTTGTTTGCACCTGACTCTCTGGCCCTGGAAGCGTTCTCCTCGATGTAGAATTTCTACTGCGATACGTTGTAAGTGGTGTTTTTCCTCTTTACCAAAGGTTTCTTTACGCGGCGGCTTTGCTTTCTTGTATTTCTTAAATGCTGGAGTCTGAAAGTTTTCATTTTCTTCTTTTCGATACCGATCGTCATGGGTTGTAGAAGGGCTAGGTTTCTCTTCAGTTCTCTGCTTCTTGGGTGGTGGAACGGTTGACGTTACTTCTGGACCTTCTACTTCTTTTACGACTTGAGTCCTGCAAGAAACTTTTAAGGATTTCAAAATCATTTTGGATTATAATATTTTTTCACCTGGTCGGGACTTGCTTTACAGATTTCCCCTCTCTCGTTCTTAAGGTACAATACGACTCCCTTTGATTTCCTGAATTACATAGGGGCCTTCAAATTTTGGAGCTAACTTTGCAGTAAAATTGTCTGGGGCACTTGATAAAGAAAATTTCCGCTTCAATACTTTATCCCCAACTTTAAAATCTGCTTCACGGCGTTTTCTATCATAATATAATTTTTGCCTATTTCTTGCCGTATCCGAGCTTTTAACCGCCTGATCAATAAGTTTTGCACATCTTTCTGTTTAAATTCTTGCTCTCTTTGTTGCACAAAGAATAATTTATCTAAAGGCGTAATTAACTTTCCGTCCTAAAAATAATTCTGCTGGGTTTTTCCCGTAGTATCGTGATTTGCCGTTCTTAAAGCATAAGCTAACTTCATTTATGTAGCCATCCCAGCGCTTGTGATGTGTGCTAACGTAACTGCGAATTATTTTTACAATGTTTTTATTAACTCTTTCTGCTATGTTTGCCTGTGGTCTATACGGAACCATTTTGATATGGCGTATGCCAAGTCCAGTGCATATGTTTTCAAATATTTGACTAATGAATTGTTTTCCGTTATCGCTAATGACTTTTATCGGTGCACCGTATTTTAAAATGTATCTGTGTAAGAATGCATCTGCGACTGTTTTGGCTGACGCGCGTTTAAGTGGAACAATTTCTGTCCATTTTGAAAAATGATCTACAATTACTAAAAGAAAACGATTTTTATTTAACTCGCTCTGGGGGAAAGGGACCAAGAAGATCTATGCCTAAAATTTCATTCGGAAATGTAGCGCGAATGCTATTTAAGTACCCGGCCGGGCTGTAATTAATATCATTTATTAACTGACATTGATTGCAGGACCTGACATACGCAGTTACTATTTTGTATAATTGCGGGAAATATACCGCCTCGCGTACCCTTTTTAAAGTCTTTCTGACCCCTAAATGACCCGCTGTTTTTTCGCGTCGTGTAATTCCTTCAAAATGCTTAATCGAAGCGAGGCTGGGATGACTGGTTTGTACTCGAGATTTTCGTTTGTTGTTTTCGTATAAATAATAAATTATCTATTATTTCATAGTTTTCTGCTCTATTTCTTATCGCATCGATATCTGTGTGCTCAAAGCTTTCGGGGTCTTTCAAATACGCATAGATACTTCCAAATTCAGGATCAGCTTTCAGTTCAGCAATAATTGTATCTCTAGAATCTAAAATTTTTGAAGTCAACACAGCGCATTTAAGTTCGTTGCCTTCATCGTCCAGTTTTATACGAGAAAGTGCGTCAGCTACATTGTTTTCCTTACCCGGTTTATATTTTATTATGAGATTATATTCTTGGAGTTTTAAAGCCCATCTTATTAACCTGGGCGTTAGGTTTTTCCCCGAGTAAAGTCTACCAACAGCCGCATGATCCGAAAAGACTGTTACTGGCGCTTTGCCGAAATAAACTCGAAATTTGTGTACAGCCATTAATACGGCTAATGTTTCTCTCTCTCTGTAGCTGTATAATTCCTTTGTGTATGATTCAAACGTTTTACTAAAAAATGCCAAAGGATGGCCATTTTGCATAAGAACCGCACCCACCGCATAGTCCGACGCATCTGCTGCTGCAATTTCCAGGTTTTCGTCCCCCTCCGGGAATTTCAAAACAGGGGCATTGATAAGCGCTTCTTTTAACCTTTCAAATGCGGTATTTGCTTCCGCTGTCCACGTGAATTTACTTTTCTTTCTTTTAATTACTAACAAGGGTTCAACAATATTAGCAAAATCTTTTATGAAATGACCGATAATAAGAACATAACCCAAGGAAAGAGAAAGTTTCTTTCTTGGCGGTGTTGGGAGGTGGGAAATTCTTGATTGCTTTTATTTTTGAATCTTGAGTTTCTATACCCTTTTGCGAAATTTTATAACCCAGATATTTAAGTTCTTTAGTTGCGAACTTGCATTTTGAGGCGTTAATTGTAAGACCGGCCTCTTTTAATAATTTAAAAACTTCTTCTAGATCTTTAATATGTTGTTCCAACGTACTACTCGTTATAATTATATCATCTAGATAGATTAAAGTTCGATTTTCCTAGGACAGGCTTTAGAACAATGTCCATAGCTCTCTGGAATGTTGATGGGGCCCCACACAACCCAAAGGGCATGCGTAAAAATGCATAAGTGCCCGATTTTGTTATAAACGCGGTTTTATGTATGTCTTCGGGTCTCATAGCTATTTGATAGTAGCCAGACGTTAAGTCCAAAGTAGACATGTATCTTGTAGATTTAATCTTCTCTAATAATTTCCTCTATAACCGGCAAAGGGTAAACTGGGAATTTAGTAATACTATTAAGTTTTCTGTAATCGATAGCAAACCTCCAAGCCCTTTTATCCGAAGGAGGAAACTCGTTCTTTTTCCTACATAGTAC